AGAACTTGGGGAGGCAGAGGCAGGCAGATTTGTGAGTTCGAGGCCAGCCTGGTTTACAGAGTGAGTTCCAGGACAGCCAAGACTATAGAGAAACTCTGTCTCGAAGAAACAAACAAAATGAAACAAACAAACAAAAAGTCAAATATAAGTCTTTTTATTTTAAGCAGATACTATAAAACTTAGGTTAACAACAAGGAATTCAAATCATTCCCTTTTTCTTCTTCATTTTAAAATTATTTTTGGTTTGAGTCTTACTATGTAGCCCTGACTGTCTTTTTTTTTTTAATTATTTAACTTTGTTTTATGTGCATGAGGTATCAGATCCCCTGGAACTGGAGTTACAGTCAGCTGTGAACTGCCATGTGGGTGCTGGGAATTGAACCCTGGTCTTTTTATTATTTATTTATTTATATTTATTTATTTATTTATTGTGTATGCCTGCATGCCAGGGGAGGGCACCAGATCTCATTCAAGGTGGCTGTGAGCCACCATGTGGTTGCCGGGAATTGAACTCAGGACCTCTGGAAGAGCAGCCAGTGCTCTTAACTGCTGAGCCATCTCTCCAACCACACCTAATAAAACTTTTATGGAAATACTTTGATCCCTCCCCTACCAGTCAGTAAAACCTTTGTTTATACAAAGGCCCTGCTGCATTCATGGTTTAAAGTGGCAGGCCCCTTCCCCTTCAGTGGTTTTGCACTGATTCTTTTAAAACTAGCCAGTCTCCGAAGACTATGAAGCTGATCCCAGATAATGGGGAAAAGAATCACTGCCTGAGTGGAATAAGAACTAAGTACAACTCCTGTCTCTGTCTATTGCTTTTCTGGTGCACCCTCTTATCAAGAGTAAAGTTTTATCTTGTGAGACACTAAAAAATGTTAGTTGAGTTGGGAATCAGAAACCACTCAGGGAATATATTCATCTATCTATTTATCTATTCATTTATTCTTTTTGAGGCAGGGTTTCCCAGTGTAGCTCTGGCTGCCCTGGAACTCGCTCTGTAGACCAGGCTGGGATAGTTTGCACTGTTACATTAACAGCCATGCTTGCTTTACATTTTAAACGCATCTACATGTGTGTGATATGCAATGGCCATCCGTCCATGCTTTGTTGAGTTATAGAAGTTTTCCACATTTTAACACACTTTAGGATGTGGTGTCAAAAATTACATAGTATCCTGTAAATTCTTCAGGGAAACCATTGTGATCATGGTGGTAGTTTCCAGACATTTCTGAATTGTTATTTTCTAACAAAAGCTTGAATCATGGTGATAAATACCCCCAGTCGTTTTCCTTGAAGTGGCCACCTCACTTTTTAAATGCTGACTGAATGTCCGGCTATGAATAACTGGTTTGTATTCCAGTTGTCATTTCACATAGAAATGACTTGGAAATACATGGAATTGGGAAAATTATTCTCAGGTAACCCAGGTCCCAAAGAACAAACTGCATGTTCTGTCTCACCTGAGTTTTTTTCTTTCCCCCTCCCTTTTTTTGGTTATTCAAGACAGGGTTTCTCTGTGCAGGGTTTCTCTGTGTAGCTTTGGAGCCTGTCCTGGAACTCACTTGGTAGACCAGGCTGGCCTTGAACTCACATAGATCTGCCTGCCTCTGCCTCCCAAGTGCTGGGATTAAAGAAAGGCATGCGCCACCAGCGCCTGGGTCTCATATGACTCTTTAGTGTGGCATGTCTAACATGGAGCACCTATGCAAGTCAGGGAAGCAGGAAAGGTTACCTAAAGGAGGGGGGTAGTAAACACAGGAAAAAACAAAAAGAGAGAACCCCACAGGTGGACTTTCACCAAGGGGTACTGAGGTGTAGATGAAGGAAGGTGTATTGGGGGGCACCACTACCCTATGAATGGATTCAAGACTCCTCCCTGGGGGACATGGAGAACCAATGCCTGGTAACTAAACCGGCATAGTAGCAGATTTTTTCTTTTCTCTTTTTTTTTTTTGTAGTTTTTCAGGACAGGGTTTCTCTGGGTAGTCCTGGCTATCCTGGCATCTACTATAGACCAGGCTGGCCTTGAACTCATAGAAATCAGTGTGCCTCTGCACGGGGGCCTCCCGTGCTGGTGTTAAAGGCTACCACTGCCTGGTCTAATTTGTCTTTTTGTGTGTATGGGGGGGAGGGCAAGTTGCTTTTTTTTTTTTAAGATTTATTTATTTCTCATGCACAGTGTTATGCCTGCACTTTCATGCCAGCGGAGGGCACCAGATCTCATTACAGATGGTTGTGAACTACCATGTGGATGCTGGGAATTGAACTCAGGTCCTCTGGAAGATCAGCCAAGTGCTCTTAACCTCTGAGCCATCTCTCCAGCTCCAGCAAGTTGCTTTCTAAGTTCTTGTTATAGTCAAAAGAGGTGCCTGGCTTTAATCGGAGGAGCCTCTTCTTACACTGAACATTGGTGAATGAACAATGGAGGCAGATGCATAGTTGCCCAAGATGCAGAAATAAGCAAGAGACATGGGCCCAGCTCTGAACAAGTCACTCATATCACCATCTTGAAGGTGCAGTAACACTGCAGGAGTGGGCAAGAAGTATGTAATAGCTGGGAGACACGGTGAAGAGCTACAAAATGCCTTTCCTGAGACTTGACACGACCATGGTAATCAACCAGTTACTACCTGGCCCACAGAAGACCAGCCTATCAACAGCCAAGGAAGGAGAGGGCTTCCAAGGACCCTGCCCCTCACTGCTAAACTGTTGGCTACTGACTCTGGGAGAAGGCCTTGCTGCCTTTCTTGCGTACTCTCTGGTGAGCCCACCAGGCTGCAATGGGTAGTTTCAAACCTATGCTCACACAGATGGCTCTGGCTAATCATGGTGGGCCACAAAACAAAATGAATAGATACGTGAGAGATTTGCGGGGAGGGGAAGGGTGGTATGGAGACAGGAGGCAAGGGGAGATACTATGGAAGGTGCATATAAATCAAACTGAAGACAAGGTGGAGTGCTGCCTAAGGTTCCCAGAGGTCTCTGTGAAAAAGCAGAGTGACCAGCACCCTGGGGTGAGAGGTTAAGAAATCAATGTGGCTGGAAGGTGGTGGCGCACGCCTTTAATCCCAGCACTTGGGAGGTAGAGGTAGACAGATCTCTGTGAGTTCGAGGCCAGCCTGGCTTTATGGAACACTGGCCTTCCTTTTTAGAATGTCTCCCACACTTGTTTGTATGCACAGCATCCGGTGGTGAGCAAGGTTCATCAACTACTTCCTGATGACACACTAGAGGGATTTCCTTCTGTAACAGGCAGGACTGGGGTCTCCGTGGGCCAGACTATGGTACGCACTTGAGCAGCCTAGAGAAACTTGTGGGTACCAGGCCCAAACGTGTTGTCTATCCTCACATTGCTCTGTGGTTTCACAAACTTCTTCACTCATCACAGAGGTCGGAGAAAACCCCTGCCTCACGTTGGTCATTGAAGCCCGTGTGCTGAAGGTGCAGGTGAAGGAACTAGTTAAGTGTGGATAAGACAAAAAGGGGGTACTAGGCCATCCTTTCCATCTGTAGGTTGCTAGAGCTCCAATGAGAGGGCTCCCCATAGGACCCATCCCTAAGGATACAAACCACTGGATTTCTGTGGGGGGGCAGTTTTGAGACAGGGTGTCTGTTAGGTAGCCCTGGCTATCCTAGAACTCCCTATGAGAGTTGAGACCAAGTTGGCCTCAAACTCAGAGATCCAGCTGCTGGATTAATGTGTGTGCTACCACACCTGCTTTAAGCCACTGGCTTTCTACAGAGAACATAGGATCCAGGCTGAATTTGAAGACTAAGGAGGAACAGGGTAGTTCATACAGTCCTAGGGAGACCAGCAAGGTGTGTGTGTGGGTGTGTGTGAGGGCCATGGGGGAACTAACTCAGCTTTGTCTGGTTTGGGGTGGTAAGGACCAGTTTTCCCTCATCTTTCCCTTTCCCATGTCCTTGGAACAGGGTCCCCAAACCATTCCTTACTCAGATGCACAGTACATGGACTCCATGCCATTTCCACCTGCCTCTGCCACTCCTCGTGGCCTGCTCTTGATCCTATGTTATGGTAGATGAGCCAACACCCACTTCCCTCCCTAAGTTCTCAGCTGGCCTGTAAGCCCTGTCTATTTCCCTCAACCCCAGACATCTCCCGGTGTAGCTTCTACTCCTTTGGATCCGTAGGGCCTTTGACATACAAGATGGGTCAGGAAACTGCCACTCTCAAGCACTGGGCATTGCTAACTCTAGAACTAAGCAGGGTTCCTTTCAATGAGACAGGGTCTCACTATGTAGCTTTGGCTGTCCTGGAACTCATCATGTAGACCAGGCTGGTCTCAAACTCCCAGAGATCCACCTGCCTTTGCCTCCCAAGTGCTGAGACTAAAGATGTGTGACACCACATGTAAATCTTGTTCCAGCTGAGGTGGTTTTAGGGAGATAAGCAAAAGGGCAGGCACAAACATGAATGAACCTATTTGACAACTAGGGCCACTTTTCACCAGGGCTGGCTTCCTAGTTGACCAGGTCGGAGGCTAGGTGCGGGAGAGACTCTTTTCAGGTTGTCCAGGCTGTGGGTCTCCATGACAATGCTAGCCTAGCTGGGGCCAGCTGTGGGGTAGGGAAGGGTTGGTGAGAGGCAAGGCTGACAAGCCCCTCCACCCCAGCAAAAAGGCACCTGCTAGCTAGGGACCTGAGTAAACCTGGGAACCTGGGGGATTAACAGGGCTTCATGGCAACCTGGGATGTCAGGCTAGGGCAGGGACATAGAGGGAAAGGTGAGGAGAGGCTTGGGCACAGTGACCCGGCAGTCACCTAGAAATACTGTTTGGAGGATCATGGAATTCTAAATAAGACCATTTCCGCCTGATGAGTCTAATTGAAACTGCTCTAACTGGAAGCTTACTATACCAAGTAGACTTAGTAGCCTTGGTCATTCATCTCTGCTCACTATTTCTGCTGGGTCCACAGTGGTGCCCTGGCTTCTTCCTGGTCTTTCAGGAGTTTTATGAAGCCAATTCTCCTTGCAGGATACTCAGAGCCACATGGACACAGAGGACTTGTCTACTTTCAACAGCTTCATCAGCATCCGAGTGTGACTACCACTCCGCGCTGCTTCAGAAACCACCTCATCTCACTTTTTTGGGCTCTGCTCACTCAGACATCTTGTCCCCTTGTCATCCTTTTAGTCCAAGTGAGGGGAGATGGCACAGGTGCCATCACCAGCTAGATGGCAGGAAGGGGTCAGCAGTGAAGTCACTGCACATCCCCTTTGGCATGGGGCAGCTGCCTACCTTCCCCGGGGCAAACGGGCAAGGACAAGCGTGTGTATGTGCTGACGACCATGACTCCCAGCAGTCTGACTAGCTGCTCAGCTGCGCCAGCTTCATTAGGACTCAGACTGGATCCCAACTGCTCCTGCTCCACCAGCAGCCCCTGCACCCACTCCAGCTCCCTCGGCTGCAAAGGCTGCAAGTGTAAGTCCTGCAAGAGCCGCTACTAGCTACTGCTCTTGCTGTCCAGTAGGCTGCTCTAAGTGTGCCCAGGGCTGTGTTTTCAAAGGCGCACCTACTACTGCACCTGCTGGGAGGACAGTGCTGCTCCGGGGTGTAAATAGAAGCATGGACCAACCCAGCTGTTTTTCACACGGCTTCTACCCTACCCTGTTCAGTAAGTCTCTTTTCCTATCATGTATGTGAATAAAGCCCATTTGAGTCTTAAAACAAACAACCAACCAAAAAGAAATGTGTGCTAACCATAGTCAGCTGCAATAGTGTTCTGTCCTGCCCACCCCTGAGAGTGAGGGCTGTTGTTCTCATCCCAGGACATCCTCTACTGGGCACTGTTGGAGTTACTAGAAGTGTTTGAACCCAAGCTACATGGGAGTAGCAGGAGAAAGGAGAAGCTGAGGGTACAAAGGCCCAGGACTGGGCTGGTGCTGTCTGGAAAGCAGGGTGAGGGGCTGAGGCAACCTCTAGGACCTGTGCTGGCACAAGGTCTCATATCCCGGTTGGATGAGCTGCCACAGCTTTAAATTTGCAGGCTGAATGAAGTCATTAGGAAGAGCTCACGAGGAATGCTGACTCAGATACAAACGCGCAGTCCAGGGCAGGGTGCCATCCAGGCAGAGCAGCTGGCCCAGTCTGCACCTACTTAGGATGACTGCTGCCCATGAGAGGGTGTAGAAGGCTGTGGAGCACACATCCAGCAGGCAGCTGGCAGCCCCTCCCAGTCAGAAGACTGTCCCCAAGAGGGTTGGAAGGGCCGGGCTAGGGGGGCGGAACACACAGAATGACAGCAGACAGGCTGGCCATGATAACTTAGTTTATGGGTCAAGCCGATGCAATGCAAAGTTGGTTGTCCTTTTTTATCATTTTTTTTTTAAACCAAAATAAATAAATCAGATCTGTCCCTTTGAAGGTCAAAAGAGGAAGGACAGCTGGCGCCTTGGGTCACCTTGCCCTTATCCACTGATCTCCTGTTTTTGACCTGCCTTGGCACAGTGAAGAACAGGATTTATCAACTGCTTCCATGTGTTCAAGGAACAACAGAAAGAAAATTAAGTGGCTGGGGGACTAGGGAAGAGGAGGGAGAAGAGTCAGCAGGACCAAGAGGCAGCCAGTGCCTGGGGTTTGGGACCCAAGGGAGTTTCTGGACTCTACTTAGAGCCAATCACTCCAGGCATGGTAGCTAGGGCAAATTCCCCACATACAGCCCCAAACCCAAAAGGGTAGCAGAGCTGAACCTACCTTTGCTGCTAAAGCCTGTTTAACTGCTCTGTACCATTCTCTGCTCACCCAACAGATGAGTGACACCCCTGCCAGCTACAGCTCCTCCATGATTTCTCAGTTTGGCCCTAGCAAGACGAAGCTACCCCTAGTCTTGAACCTGTGGCTTGGTGGGTGACAAGGACTGACTACCAGTACCTTGAGAAGCCGCATAGGATTTCTATAGTGAGGATGGGTAGGGCCAGAGCTGCCTTCCCTAGGACATCTTGAGGGGACTTTTCCATCTTGCTCCTATTGCCTCCATGGAAGGTGTGGGCTGAGAGAAGTCAGCACGGGCGGGGCAGGGTGTGGCCTGGGGGCAGCTGAGGACTGGAGGAGACAACAACCTAACTCCTACGAGAAGGGCGGAGGCGTGGCGCAGCGAGGGGCAGAGTGTGGGCCGTGCTGAGGCACTGTTCTTTAGTTGAGAAGCAAAGAGCATCATGGGCACAGGGAGCCATGGCCTCATCAACTCCAGGGCATCTAAGAGAATTTCTTGAAGGCGTCCAGGTCAAAGGCTGTGTCCAGGAAGCGCTGCAGCTCTGTCAGGTGAGTTTTCTTGTTGCCAGTGGCTGGGGCAGCAGCAGGGTCTCGGCCAGCATACCTGAGAGACACAGAGAGGGGGCAATGAGGAGAGCAGTCAGAGGTGGGCCCTGCCTGTTCTTCCCTGGCTCGCTTCCAGGTGAACTGCCCAGCAACCTGAAGGAAGGTTCTGCGGGTCTCCCCATCAAGGACTTGGGCCTTACCAGACAGGCTTGGCGCGGTCAATGGTGGTCCGAAGTCTTGGCTTGACATAGTCATAGTAGCCTTGGTTCTTGTGCTCTTCCTGGCACCAGGCCAGCTCAGCATTGGGATACTTCTGTGCCTCCTTCAGGAGGAGGTCGAAGGGGAATGGCGACAGCTGGAAGAGAGCAGGGCTGAGATCAAGAAAGAGGCATTGGGCAAAGGGAGGCTGGAATTTCAGAAGGGAGTCTTGTAGTTATTGCAGGTGGGAAAGGTTAGGCACTCAGTAAACGAGTTTTGCCAAAGTACACGGCCCAAATACCGCACAGGCAGGACACTGCCAGCTAGGTGCTACACCACATCCTCTCACCTGCCCAAATACCGCACAGGCAGGACACTGCCAGCTAGGTGCTACACCACATCCTCTCACCTGCTCAATCCTTGTAATAGCCACCTGCTCTGCCAGGCCTCTGGCTTTGCGCTCTCGGGTGAGGTCATAGTACACCTTGCCAGTGCAGAAGAGTAGTCTTTTGACATTGTTCGGATCCTGAGCTGCAGGGCCATCTTCTGGGATCACACGCTGGAAATGGGTTCCTGCAAGAAAGTTTCCACAGCTGGGTTGGTTCTTTCTGCAGACCTATTCCATGGCTGCTGTGCATGAGCTGAGGGCTGTCACATAGTGGCTGGGATCTGTAGTGAGGGCTGAACATAACCTCCTCAGCTTCCGATGCCTGCGCATTTACTCAGACTAAGAACGCTGTTTAACCAGGACCAGGGATTTACATCTTTAACCCTAGTATGCAGGACACAGAGGCAAGTGGATGTCTCTGACTTTAAGTGAGTTCTAGGACAGCCAGTGATACATAATAGAGACTCTATCTCAAAAATAAAAAACAAAAAAGCAAAAACCGGTGGCTACTTATATATATACTTTACAAATTTGCAAATGAAAAAAGTTACAACACTCAAGAGGACATCTAACAACTCCTGCTAGAACTGGTACTCCCAAAACAGAGGAGACCTGAGAGACGCTTTCATGAGTAAACGTTCAACTGGGAAATGGCAGAGTTGTACAGATGAAAAATCCATGGCAAAAATCATACTCAACCTGGGTGGTAGTGCCACACGCCTTTAATTCCAGCACTCAGGAGGCAGAGGCAGGAGGATCTCTGTGAGTTTGAGTCTGGTCTACAGAGTGAGTTCTAGGAAAGACAAAACACAAAGAAGCCCTGTCTCAAAAAACAAATAGGGTGACACTGGCATAAAGACAAAACACAAATGGAACAGGACACGGTCAGATTAATTTTCAACACAGGTATCAAGGTCACTCCGTGGTAAAGAATAGCCTTAACAAATGGTGTTGCGGCCGGGCGTTGGTGGCGTACGCCTTTAATCCCAGCACTTGGGAGGCTGAGGCAGGTGGATCTCTGTGAGTTCGAGGCCAGCCTGGTCTACATGAGCGAGTTCCAGAACAGCATCCAAAACAATACAGAGAAACCCTGTCTCGAAAAAACAAAACAAATAAACAAACAAAAAAACAAATGGTGTTGCAAAGGAAATCCACATGCAAAAGAATGAAGTCAGGATCTTGAAGGACTATTTGTATATCCATGTTCAAGACAGTGTTACTTACAAGAGCTACAATAGGGAAGCACCCCAAGTAACCACCAAATAGTGAATGGATAAACCAAATGCAGTAGATCCATAAGATAGGTCACTTCTCAGTCTTTTGGCTAAAATCAAGTGTGTTGAACAGAACACTCCTCCACCTTAAGACAGGAAATGATGGCACACACTATACCACGGGTGAACCCTCAGGACAGTATACTAATTGAAATAAGTCAGTTATAAAAAGATAAATAAATATAGACTAAGCATTCCTATTCTTTAAATCAAAAACCTGAAAACTTTCTGAATATCAACATGAATCCTCATGAATACCAATATGCACCTGTTACATGATGGGTTACAATTAAAGCTCAGGTACACTGGAAATATAGTGATTTCTTATTAGATGTGTATAAGATACACATAAAGTAAGTGCAGTCTGTCTACATGTAGACTTGGGTTTAAACGAGTATTTCAAAACCAGTTAAAATACCAAAGTTAAGACATCTCTGGTTGGGGCTGGAGAGATGGCTCAGCAGTTAAGAGCACTGACTGCTCTTCCAGAGGTCCCAAGTTCAATTCCCAGCAACCACTGGTGGCTTACAGGCACTTTGAATGAGATCTGGTGCCCTCTGCTGGCATGTAGCCAGAAGATTGTATACATAATAAAGAAAATCTTAAAAAAAAAAAAAAGACATCTCTGGTCCTAAGCATTTTGGAGAAGGGCTGCTCAGCTGTACTATACTGTTTGTTGTAGTTAAACAAAATGTGGTTGCCAGAGCAACAGCAGGAGAGGGTAGGGAGTACTTAGTGGGTGAAGGGTTTCAGTTTTACCTGATGTAAGCTCTAGAAATAGAAGGTTCGATGGCTGTACAACAAGAATGTTCCTCTGTGACATTGAACACTTAAAAAATGGTTAAGATGGTAGACTCCACATTATGTAAATGCTACCACATACCAAAAGTAGAAAATAACAAACAAGAGGTTTGCTGTACAGAAGACTATATGGGCTTGGTGGCTGAGAGGAAGCAGTCTTCCTGGCCTCATGAGTCACAGGGACATTTGGGTGGCCACAGGCTGTGTTAGCACCTGCTTGTCACTTTCCAGGTACAAGTCTCAAGCCACAGACTCCTATCTCAGCAGTGAAGCCGGCATGCCCCCTCCCCCGCAATATTCCTTGCTGTGAAGAATTTAATCTGACACTTGGACTCATGAGCTGTCACATGCACCTATTTGTGATGCTAGATTCTCTTTTTGTTGTTTTGTGTCTTTTTGTTTTTGTTTTTCTCTAGATAGGGTCTGACCACCTAACTCTGGCTGGCTCGGAAATTGCTGTGGAGCAGGTGGGCTCTGAACTTAGATGCTCCAGTCTCTGCCTCCAGGGTGCTGGGATTTGAGGCCAGCCCACCAGGTCCGCATTTTAATGCAGTTCCAGGGCCATGCACAGTCAGAGGTCTTTATCTCATGCCTAAAAATCCACAAAGAGCCTCAGAAGACAGATAAACACAAGTCCTATAAGCCTTACACAACAGCAAAGAGCTCCCAGAGCTAACTACTAACACCACCCTGGGAAACACCAATGCTCTGCACACCTACCTGGAAGCATTTCGTCAAAGCTAGTTCTTGCCT